AATAGGCCCATCAGTGGCCACCGTGCCAAGCGGACCCAGTTGGACTCCACCCACCACTAAGCGAATTAAAAAAAAAATACTTCAAGTGTATGATTCAGTGAGACTGTTATATTCCCTGCGTTTTATTTGCTGTACCAGGAGAGGACCATTGTGTGTATGTGTGTGTAAATCAGCGATAGCGTTATATCTAAATGTGATTAAAAGAGCTTGTAGCCAAGGTGCTAATAAATCCAATTATTAGAACCCGTCGATTTCGTCACGCATACAACCCTACACGTGACAGTATTAAGTACTGATATTCGGTATAGCGAAGGGTTACGGACGGACTGGACGGCAAAAAAAAAGATTTTCGGTTCTGGGCAGTTGCAAGAAATTTTTCTCTTCTCCATAGCGCCCAGATAGACTATGGTGCCCACCCCGTCTCCCACACAACCCGTGAGATAAAGCAGCAGGGGTGTGAAGCTGACCACTCACCTCCATCTAGTGCGACGATAAGAATGATTGAGCTATACCTCCTCTCCCCCATATGTCTTTATGCCGTGATGATTAATTAATTAAGCACAGGGGAAACTTTACCTCACCTTACAAATAAACAAAGCTACAACGGATAGCTCAGTCGGTAAAGCGAATGGCTATGGGCTGGACGACCGAGGGATCGGAGTTCGAGTCCCGGTGGGTCAAGAATTTTCACTTCTCCATGTTGTCTAGACTGACTCTGGGGTCCACGCAACTTCCTAACCAATCCTATTAAATGCACAGTGCACAAAGCCCGAGTTTACCAAATGTTATAATTTCCAAAATTGAAAAATTTACGTAGGGCGCCAACGGAAGCAGTGGCATGCTGTAATAAATTTCCCTGTTATTGACAGAGTATATTTGAGATAGGTATTTTGCTACAAAATTTTACGATTAAGCACGCAAGTAATTGTAGCTTCTTTGACGCATGTAGGCCTATCTAAAATGTCGATTAATCAGTGTATAATTGTGCTGTATAATTTCGGCTAATAATAAAATTAATGGTAATGATAATTAAAAGAAAAGGTAAACCGTCGTGACCTATTTTAAAGCATAATCCCATAATTTGAAGAAACTGAGTAAAAGAACGAAAAAAAATCAACGTAACTTCTCTATATGCTGAGATTTTGCTAAGAGGGCCTTATGGGGGGGGACCTTCCCAGAGACACGGTAGGAACTGAGCCCGGTAGTTCCCGACTGCAGTCTAACGCGCTACCGCTGTGCTAAACGCTTGTCCAAGGGAACGTCAGACGGGGTGCGTGGGGAGAAGAGAAGAGTCCTACAGTGAGATGGAAAAGAGGCGGGATTTATCCGAAGGGTAGCAGGTGGCGAACAATGGAAAAGGTATCAAGTCTCCACCCTATCAGATGTCAGCTCCACCCCTAAGTCCACCCTACTGCAAAGGGGAGTATTTTATTTCGGACCCATGTAGTGTGGCACTAATCTCAGCTCCATGAATAGTTCTGTTAGCGCAATGGAACGCGTCTGCCCGCGGAAACGAATACAGATCGCAGGAGGGGCGACAAAGCAGTTACAGAGGGTGTGGGACCAGAGAGTCGTACGCCACTTCGCATTTGATTTGCGATACAGCCTACTAAGAAATGTTTTAAATAAATGCATAATTCATAACGTGCATCATTATAATTGTTGTTACATGTATACTCATTGCTGGGTAACGTGTTGGTAAACAAGTTCCCGCGAAGACCTATTCTTGGTAAACAGTTCGTTGCTAGGTTACGCAACAATAGATGAAGCTGTGTATTTACGTCGTTCGTGTCGAACAACAGTAGGAACGGGGTCCTCTGTGACCAGTTGCTAGGTCACGCAACGGTTCTTACAATAGAACTGTCTTTTCTGTGTGGTCCGTGCCGCGGCTATGTAAAGAGATTCCCAGAATAACCGAGAGAGTTTAATGTGTAAAATGTATATACCATTTACCTCATGACAAATGAATGAAGACAGTGACTCTAACAAAATACAGACCCGTCCTCTCGTCAGAGAGGGCACCCCACAATAACAAGACCATAACTGTCAAACAGTAATAAATATCTGGTCATAATCCCCAAACGGGGCTCAACACCAAGACCGACTTACTAACTGACCGTCAATCGCTATGTGACTTTGACTTCGACTAACCGAGAGAGTGACAGAATTCGTTAAGGGGCAGTTAGGAATCAGCCGTAAGCTGGAGGAGTGAGTCCAGAAAAATTTTAGTTCCGAGGTTCCAGAGTGATTGAAGAACAGAGTTAACATTAATACAATACAATACATTGTGTTTTAATAGTGTTTCTGCCCTACCTATAATTTGTTTTAATATCCGAATGGGGCACGCGGTAGCGTAGTTGGTTGAGGCACAATGCTACAAGCTGGAGATCGCGGGAACGATTTCCAACGAGGTAATTTGATTTTTCAATTGACCTAATCCTTCCAGCCGCATTATGGCCCTAGGGTCCACTCAGCCTCTAACAGAAATGAATATCAGGAAACTTCCTGGGGGGTAAAGGGCGGTCGACGCGTAAGGTTGACAAATTTACCGCCATCTATGAGCCGAATATCGAGAGAAAATGTGGCAGCCTCGACGTCTTACAACCCTATAGACCCTTCACGGTCTATTACAGGGATAGCCATATTTTAATAATTGAATGATTACTGTCGTAAAAAAAACCAGAATGTGATTTCGATTTTGCGTAGGACTTCATAGGTGCAGGATTTAGGACTTGGGCAAATATGAGCATTGTAGATAATATCATCATCTTTACATTTTCGGTCTCTCTCTAATCTAAGTGAGGAACACACTTGGAAAAATAAGAGCTCCTTTACATATATAGGCTAATCAACCTAACTCTTCAGTTTTTATTGAAGCCAGAATTTTTAGAATGGCAGAACACGGTAATAATTCAAATGTTTTCATTTGTCGTGTTAATATGCGCCTGCGTACGAGGGTGCTAGCTCTATATGGCAAAGAAAGTTGTATTTGTAAGATTTGAGGAGGCGATACGTTCCTCCGAAGCGTCGGTTAACACCACATATACACGGTACCACATCCCAGAAGACTGCTTTCTTCAAAGTTGTATTTGTCCACAGAGTGCATTTATGTAGTCAAAAATAAACGTCCCTTATTTCACTGAACAACATTAACCGATTAGTCTTTATAACAGAGACTGAGTACTTTCTGTGAGGTACGGATTTAATTTTTCAGTATTATTTAAATAAGTTTGTTTTGAAACGGTTTATGAAAAGTCCAGTTAGTTTTAAATACAGGTATACAGATATTTAAATTCCATTAGCATCGAACATAATCAATAACCTTTTATTATGATATACGTTTTCTTTTATCCCTATACAACTCTATAACCAAGCCATATCACTCGCTACCAGGCTCCATATTCCTTCTTTAAGCATAAAATAGATTTTAAAATATGTCACAAGCGACAGGAAGTAACAGGGAAATGGAAAATTCTCTCAGAGAGGAGCTTCATAATTTGTACTCATCACCAGCAACAGTAGCGATTAGGCATCACAGGTGAGCAATTGAGACGCATGAGATGGGCCATGTACGAGTATGTAACAGAAACTGTGAGAAGAGTGTTGCATACACACGTTTAGTCAGGAAACTTAAAAGGAAGAGATCAGTTGGGGGACCTACAGCCCGGAGGTTGTGAGAACAGGCTGCTGAGGAGAATATTTCGACCGAAGAGAGATAAAGAGACGGGAGTTTGGAGAAAACTACATAATGAGAAGCTTCATAACTTGTACTTTTCTCCAAGTATAATTAGAATGATAAAGTCAAAGAGGATGAGATGGGCATGGCATGTAGCACGAATGGGGGAAGAGGAATGCATATAGGATATTGGTGGGAAAGCCACAAGGAAAGAGACCGATAGGAAGACCAAGACGTAGATGTATGAGCAATATTAAAATTGATCTTAGAGGGATAAGATGGGATGGTGTGGATTGAATTGATCTGGCTCAGGATAGGGACCAGTGGAGGGCTCTTGTGAACACGGGAATGAACCTTCGAGTTCCATAAAATACTGGGAAGTTCTTGAGTAGCTGCACAATTGGCGGCTTCTCAAGAAGATCTCAGCTCCATGAGTGAGTGAGTCAGTTTCCATCGCTGTCCGCCTCGAAGCAGCGTTGACCGACAGTCACATGTACGACCAGATGCGTTGCCGTCTACATTTTGTTTAGAACACTGTTTCATTAGACTGAAAGCTGCAAGCCTGCGACTTCACTCTTCTACGTTTGGAACTGAAATGAATATCTGATAATGGTGCTACATTTTATCAGAGTTGTGGATCGTTACGTCACACACAGGCGGAATCGGGGATCACTAAAACGCGACCCAACTATATGTGGAAGCGCGATATTAAAAAAAAAAATAAACTAGAAAAACAGTGCGTGAAGTTTGGGGTTGGATTCGTCTTCCACCTCACAAGTCCCCGTGGCTCCGGTCTAGAAAACCGAGATTAACGGCCGTGGGAATCCGTTGCGCTGACCACGAGACACCCTCTATCCGCTAAATTTGGCACTAACTTCGCCGACAAGCGGCGATCGCTCGGTCGGTATAGTTCGCTTGCGGACTAAAGGGCACGGAGTTTTTTTAAATACATCTTCTGGTTCCGCAAAATACGAGAAATTCCTTGACCATGTTACTGTAATATCTTCAGGAATAACTCTGCGTTACAAGGGGAATAAGTAATTGGAAAGATGTGACAGAGTCGGAGAAACTATCCACTTAGGTTCTGAATCTGTAAAGATGCTTGTGGGTATATGCACTATGCCTTACAGGACTACCTCCGTAGCTTCATAAAGCATAGGAATACCCTCGTCGACTCCTCACACTTAACTCTAGCCTTGCTATGAATTCCAGTCCGTTTCGGTTAAGGATATCCTAGGTTATCCTTAACCATTATATTTCTTATAATGCAATAATTATAATTATATTTTAATGTGACTAACTTTAATTTATTTTGTTTATTTTACATGGATTTGGCAACCCTGACTAGATTATTCTTTAACAGAATCAATTAAACCCATAAAGATACAATTTTTATGTATACAAATAATACTTTTAAGCTACCTTGTAATTACTGCAAAATGAACGATACTTCAGCATATTAATAAAAAAATTAACAAATGTACACTTAAAGGACACGAATAAAATTAATAGTTCCGAATAGTTTTGTCATGATAAACCGTACCGATTTTCTTGTACTCCCATATAATTTTTCCCCACATTTTATTAAAAATATGCATAATCATAAATTAAATTATTGTAGATCTAATTCTGTGAAACTGTAGAAACTTCACTAGACCAGTGAGGGCGCTGATGTCAACAATTAAATGCAGGCTTCACGCTCCGGCTTATCGCTTAGGCCAGATACCGAAAGCATTTTGCAATCTGAAAAGAATTGCCGGTAGAAATCAGCTGATGCCTAGTCGTACAGACCAGATTCTTCAACAGTGTTGACAAGATACCTTTTGAAACGGATTTTGAACGGCACGCATTGGCTCATTATATTCTGTCTGTTAAAAGAAATTAATTTCGGAACCTCTAAAATGTTCTCTTTCTCTCTCAGAGACAAAGCACACTTCTAATATATTTACATCCTCATTGCCAACTACGACAGAATTACCATTCTAGGGTGGGTTTCTTCATTATAAACGGCAGCTCACGACATCATGGTCAATCCAAATCACATTTCCTTTCTTCCACAAGGAACTTGGTCTACTTCCTTCGCAGATCATACAGCACTGTGATAAATCAAGAAGTGTATCTATTTCGGAAATTCATGTGGCACGTGTTTGTTTATCCAATAGAAAGAGTTTATATTATTCTGACTAGTAACAACTTTGGGCTTACAGGTCTACACTGGCAATTATCCTTTCAAAATTCAGTGGTTATTTTAGGTACCACTTGCTTTAATACATTTGAAACTCTGCGTTCTGCCCCCAGAGTGCATTCGTGTGTTCCGTGTGGTTCTCATGATAAACAGTGTCTGTTTCCCTAAACAGCATTAACTTATTTATCTTTGAAGCCGAGACAAATGTGTTTCCTGTGAGGTAAAATATAAATTTCTACATATTTCTCAGAAGAAATTCAGTCTTTAAAGACTCTTAAACACTCCGCAATGAATGCGTTAAACAGTTTACCCTAGGGATAAGTAACTGCTTCGATTGTATGAGAAAAGTTAGACTGTTACACTGCGTTTACAGTAAGATTTATATGTTAGGGAGAGATCTTCCTCCATTTTCACAGTAAAAGGTCTGTCGTTCTACTTTCTCAGAGGCAACATGTATAGAGAACTAACCTGTCCACGGAACAACAAACATTACCTAAACCATCTGCAGAAATCAGATATTTTGTTGAGACCACTATTCGAGCTTTTTCATAGCCCTCGTTACATCTTTGCCCTCCTAATACATGGCTGTTAATATAGTAGAGTGCATTCCTCCTATATTCTTTTCTAGACAACGTTCACTGGAATGACTTCGGCTAACTATAGTTTAAGCTTCGAATCCAGGGGCCAACAGATGGTGGTTTCCGAGGTAAATGAATCAGTTGTTTTGTTGTTCATTGTTTAAGATGGACGTCGAAGTGATGACACTTGTCAAGGCGTCAGGTGATGGCCTTGTAGGTATGGGCTCTAGCGGTGGTACACTGAAACAAACAGACCGCATAAGTCATGACGTGCTATTAGGCAGAAAATTCAGTAAAAATGTTAGGTACGACTATCAAGTGGTGTAAATTATAACAATGGGATTTTTTCCTTGGCACTAGAGCCCCAGTAGGCCTAGGCCTACCTCCATGAACCTCTACGTTCACTTCAGTTTTTCTAGGTCTTACACATTCGGTAGGACCCCTTGGGCGGGTGATCAGCTCGTCGCAAGGCCTCTATCTGTACACAAACACAAAAAAACGCACACACACACAAACTAAACATCCATGCCCTAAGTGGGATTCGAACCCACGATCCCGGTTTCCAAGCGAACGAAGACAGTACATGCCTTAGACCGCTCGGCTACCGTGACCGGCAACAATGGGTTTTAGAGTTAAGAAAATAAATGTAGCCATATTCCATATCTGGGAACGAAAGTAAGAAGTCAAAATTACATTTACTATTACGGAGAAAACTTGTTATGATCCAGTTCAGAATTGTTTTCCTCGCCGTCTAATGATTAAAGTACAAGAATGTAATAGTACATTGTGTATTATCGCGCAAGGAACAATATAGACTGAACTTCTCTGAGAATCTGGTGCTCAGGGCAATATGTGGATCTAAAGGTAAACAAAAAGATGCCGGAGAAACTTGCATAATGAAGTATTTCATAATCTTTATCAAACGTAACCTGCGGGATCGAATCAAAAAGAACGAGAAAGTAAAAAGCATGGCAGAAGTGAGTATGGTAAACGAAATTTTGCAAGAAAATATGACGAAAAAGACTCATAGGTAGACCTGGGCATAGATGGGATGATATTAAGATGGATTTTAAGCAAACAGGCTGTCAACTGGATTCATCTTGCTCAGGACGGGACCCAGTGGTCGACTCGTATGAACACAGTTATGATCCTTTGGCCCCCTTAATAGAGCCCCAATTCCTTGACTAGATGAAAGACAATTAGTAATAGCTTCATTAATATTCTGCTGCATTATGTTACTTAGAAGTTAAAGAATTTTGTCATGATAAAAGTCCCAAATAAATTTGGTGTTTTTTAGAAATTTGAATAATGGTAAAAGCAAGCAGTGAATGTCAGTGCGCTTTCAAAAGTGGCAGAAATACGTGTAATAATGTTCTTAAGAGTATAGAGATATTAGTCCAAATTAAGCAGAATAAGTAATAAATTTACATTGAGAAAATTTGTTCTACATTATGTGATCAATGGGAAGACACAAAATTGCAATGTCTGATGGTTGATAATACCTGCAGTCTGAAAAGTGCAACAGTTAAAAAAATTTAAGGCCTAATTATAACTCGAGTATGTAGGATCTGAGGTTCTCGCAACGGTGCTTATGAAGAGTTCGGTCTCCTGGGATATGATGCTGTGTAGTCCGCTGAAAGCCAGTCGACGTTTCGGAGGAACATGATGCCTCCACTTTCAGGGTCGAAGTGTAAGCCAACAAGAATCAAGTTGCAAAGTACTTCATGCTGGTATCTTACTGGCTTATTCTTCGTAATGCCACGTTCCAGAATAGAGTGAACAGAAATCATAATAACTAAGCTAACTTGCTCTGCTCCTTCTAATCATATTTGAGAGGTCAGCGCATTGTCGGCAGAACACCTAGAATTTACGTGTAAATTTCGATTCTCCGTTGCATATCACAAATGTTTCCTCTCTACTTCATTTTACAGTAATGTGCCCGGAAGTTGAGCTAAGTTACAGGAATCAGAAGGGTCACCGGGCGTCCCAGATATCCAGAAGATCCGAGTTCGTTTATTGAGAACTTTAGAGTGTACCACTCACTCACTCTTGAGCTGAGCCCTTCTTGAGAAGAAGCTAAATCTTCAGCTACTCGCGAAATTCCCAGCATTTTATAGAACCCGAAGGTTCATTACCGTGTCCACAAGAGACCTCCACTGGTCCCTATTCTGAGCCAGATCAATCCAATACATGCCATCACATTATATCTCGCTAAGATCCATTATAATATTGTCCATCCATCTATGCCTTGGTTTTCCAAGTGGTCTCTTATATCTTACACGTCTACTAAAAAATTCAGACATTACAATCAAGAATTATTAAAATATAAAAATTATGAACATAATCGAAATAAAATCCGTTATAAAAAGCATATCAAAAATACTTGCAATTTTTCATGTATCATAACACCTTTATATATTTTGTATTAATATTTTTTTTTCTTTACGTTGTGAGGTCAAAGCCTTGCACAATAAAAATCACTTCATTCCAACAATGTAAAGGCAACAAAGAGCCTCAACAATTTATGTAACAGAAGAATGAGCTCATGAAGATGACTGAGACGACTGAAATATTTCAAGCAAATAACACTCACTCATGCAGGTGAGCCCTTCTTGAGAAGCTGCCAATTATGCAGCAATTCAAGAATTTTACAGCATTTTATGGAACCCAAAGGTTCACTACCGCGTTCACAAGAGCCCTTCAGCGTTTCCTATCCTGAGCCAGATAAATCCTGTCCATACCATCCCATTCTCTCTCTCTAAGATCCATTTTAATATTGTCTACCTACCTACGCATTGGTCTTCCCAGTGGTCTCCTTCCTTCCAGCTTTCCCACCAATATCCTATGTGCAGTTCTCCTCTACCCCATTCATGCTACATACCCTGCCCATCTCATCCTCTTTGACTTGATCATTCTAATTATACTTGGAGAAGCGTACAAGTTATGAAGCTCAAGCAAATAACATGCTTATGAATTTTGGTACATTATAATGGTTAATAATGTAATATTTTCTCTAGATCAAGTAAACTACAGTGCAAATATTTTATGAAGGGGAAAGGTAAAAATTGTAGTAGAAGAGTAGAAAAAGCGAAAGTCACAGGGGAAAATGAGAGATATTTTATTGTGGGGAGGGACAAAGAGTATAGTTTTTTAGGATCCTAGGCTTCACCCGCTAGTCCTTTGATCACCACTACTTGAATTCCACTTTGACCAACGAACCTCTCAGAGAATATGCGAAATTTGTTTGTTGATAAGTACAAGCGAGATAGCTCGACTGTTTGGATTGCGTCGCTGAAATACTATAGAGCTTGAAAGCATATATTTTTAGTATTACGTCTGGATTGTGCGGCTAATTGCACAAACGGAACAAGAGCAGCAGTAGCCGGGCTGAAACCTGTGCAACATAAAAGTTACCAAGGTAATTAACAGTTCGTATTTTCCAGCATCTACGCCGCCATTTTTTTTTTTTTTCGTTACGTACATCGGAGCCCGCTGTCTTGTTTTGCCCAGCTAAGTTCTTCATTGGTGAGCCGGGATAGCATAGTCGGCATAGCGACAAGTTACGGGCTAGACGACCGGGGGGTCGATGTTCGAGTCCCTGTAGCGTCAATAATTTTCTCCACGACGTCCAGACCGGTTTTGGGGTCCACCCAACCTGCTATCCAATGGGCACTGGGGGCTCACTTACCTCTAGCTAGTGCCGAGGTCATGAAAATGTGGATCCATACATCCAGTCCCCCATACGCCTTCATGGTGTAGTGTTTAATTAATTAAGCACAGGGACAACTTCACCCTCACCTTAATTTCTTCATCACTTCTTCTTGTGTAGGCTAGGGGCCTATGTAATGTAGCAGGACAGCTCCTTCGGAATTCAGAATGCAGTACTATCTTCTTCTTATACAGATGCAAGCAGGGGAGAGAGACAGAGAGAGAAAGAGAGAGAGAAGGGCACACGTCCAGTGTACTCACTTGGAAATATGTCTGTTGAGTATGCTCGTGGATGGCAGAAGGGGGGACTGGGAGGGTGTGGGCCCCAGACTGTTGTAGTGATCTGCTGGCTGACCCATCTCGTCACCTAGGAGACCTCCGTGCGCCTGCTGTTGAAGTAACATCTGGTGGGGCTTCACGTCGGGACTCCCAGTTCCGCCACCGTACATATGTGCCAGCTCCAGCTTGTCCACTGTCAACACAAACGGGACATGGAGCTTCTACTTTTCCAAAACACCTCCCTCTCAAAAGGGACTGCTACCTCACTTGAATTCATGTCTGGCACTTTCGCTGCTAAGAATCTGTAGTTGCTACATGGCTGCTAACTCATAGGAGAGCATGTTAGATCTGTGCTATACTTTGATATACTTTCCTAGGATTCAAGTCACAGTACCGAGAAATCTTAGTCATGCAACATTTGGTCTATTTACAGAGTAAGACATATAGAAATATTTCAGATTAATGTTTAGGTCGGGTTGTGGAAGAAAGCGTGTGGGAACACACATCATCTCAAGTTGATTCCCACCAATAAATCAGCCAGAAAATCTTGGGACATTGTGCTTTATTTCGAGCTGTAACACCCTCGGAAATTTCAGCTCGACTTAAATCTCTTGGTCACATTGACTACAAACAAAACAAAAAGAAAACCCTCCGTGGCCTGTAGACCGCAAGCGAACTATACTGACCGAGCGACCGCCGCTTGTCGGCGAAGTTAGTGCCACCTTCTGCGGATAGGTGTCAAGTCGTCAGCACAACTGATCCCCACAGCCATTAATCTCGGTTTTCTAGACCGGAGCCGTTATTTCTTTTAAATATCTCCTCACTTATCCTCACGAGGCTGAGTGGACCTCGTTCCAAATCCATTACTTCTCAGAAAATCTGGTAGCGCCGGGAATCGAACTCGGGACCTCTGTATCTGTAGGTAGGAACTCTGACCACTAGACCACAGAGGCGGTCCACATTGACTACAGCATTAAAGAATAATGGTCTTGGTTCGAGTTAACTGCTTCGATCGGTTACCGTATCACTCCTGATGAAGACGCCCTACTCAGAGAGGACTATTTTGCTCACGTATTCCATAGCACTCCCGAATAACAGGTCTTACTTCGATTTAAGGTGCTCTGATAAAGTGAGCTAGATTACTTCCAATTAATGCGCTATGCTTCGCAAGAACTTCTTTCATCACGTTAGTCATAGTACTGCTGACTGGAAGATCTAACGTCCAGAGAGCTCCATGGGCCAGGTTAGCCATAGCATTCTCAAACAGGATGCCGCACTTCGAGGTAACTCCTACGGTCAGGTTAGCTATAGATCCTCTGCATAAGTCTTCGTTACTGAGTTCTCCTGCTTGGAATACGCTGAAGACTCCTGAAGGGAACTCGGTAATTCAAGCCGATCTCTCATCAAGATTCTGAACGCTGTGTTTTTCGAAAATCTTCCGAATTTTTTCATCAGGCCTCGGTGTCTTTTTATCAGTTCCTTAATTCACTCGTGATCATTAATATGATATAAAGACGTTACAAACTTTGTCGCGGGCTTTAATGACTAATGCATATTCATGCTTTTCCGACCTCTTTCGTCACCACATCAATGTAGCAACCGTGTGATTATATCAGGTTTCTCCAAAATTAATACCATTAGATGAAATATGTGTGTAGCTACTAATGCAATGCAACATCAGTAATTCCGTATTCACAGATACAACCCTCACATTAGTGGTCAGTTTAGCTGCAGAAGGTAAACAGAGGCAAAGGGTCGCGAAAGGTGTGTTCTTAAGGATTTACAAGGAGACGGTCTTGTCCTATTTCAAGGTACTATTCCTGAAACTGAAAGATAATATAAATGGTTAAGTTGTCTGTGTGCTTAATTCATTAAGCATTATGGCATGAAGGAAGCACAATAGATCACTGTAGGTCGCGGTGCAAGGCCCGAGAAGGCCCACCAGTTATACATTAATTCATTCTTTCATGACATGAAGATGTATGGGAGAGTGGAGGTATAGCTCCCTCATTCTTGACTTCTGCACTAGATAGTGGTGACTGGTCAGCTTCACGGCCCGGTCGTTTTACACCCGGGAAAATCGTTTCTGGTACCCCGTTATATAGGGGACTGAGTGGGCCCGAGATTCGGTCTGGACGCTGTGGAGAAAAGAAAAACTTGCCCTTGCCAGGAATCGAACCCCGACCGTCCAGCCGTCGCCCATCACTATACTGACTGAGCTATTCGGACTCCTGAGAGTAAGAAACCTAAGTCAATTTATTCGATACCTGGACACAGATTCCGACCCGGTAACTCCGCTGTACAAATCCAGAATATTACCGCTAAGCCAGCCTGCTCTGCGCGCAAGGAGGAACTCATGAACCGAGCGACTCGTCAGCACAACACCTCCCCATAGTACCTGTGATGTACACATCTAAAATTGCGATTTTATTATCTGAGAGCAGTGTATAAAATTTCATGAGACGTACTGAGCAAGTTTGAACACTGATAAGCGCGATCGATTGACATGAATACGTGACGGTTCATGCGCGGAAGGATGAGAAGGCTCAGACAAACATTGCGACTGATAAGTCAGTCCATACATTTTGCAACACAGAAAGCTTACCTTCCTTTTCAGGGATGGACAAGCCAGTCAACACTCCAACACTTCAAACCGTTACATAACTCTCAATTAATTATAATACAATTCTGCTTATTCGTAATTTCCACTAGTAGAGCTACAGCTACCGGTTACGTTATAAATTTGTCAGATAAGTTACAGCCTTGAAGGTTCACATCATAAAAAATTCGTCATAGTCTTTTCCATGATGACTATGTTCTCCTTATTTCCTTCCCCCATCAGTTATACGTAAGTTGAAAGTCTTCAAGCAGACAACGTACTCTCTTATACTCTCTCTTAGAGACGCTTCCTACAAGTTAACTCCCTGCATAATAGTTACCAACATCGTCAGTAAGCCTAAACTTAGTATGCATTAATTTTACTTAACACTACAACTTTTTTTTTCTTGGCACTACATCCCCAGTGGGCCTAGGCCTTCCTCCATGAATTCCGTTTCACTTCGGTTTACTAGATCTTACACATACAGTAGGACTCCTTGGGCGAGTGATCGTCGCAAGGCCTCTACCTGTAGGCAAACACAGAAAAACGCACACAAACATCCATGCTCTGAGTGGGATTCGAACCCACGATCCCGGCTTCCGAGCGAGCGAAGACAGTGCACGCCCTAGACCACTCGGCTACCGTGACCGGCAATACTACAACTTGCCCCTCACAAATGTCATAAATTCTTCCAAAACATTTTATTTCATTTTAACTGTCAACTCTGATTGAAGTTCTTTTCATTGGTTGGGAAGGTTATACCAACATATTAATAGCAATAAAAATTTAAACAAATCTCATTAAGATGAATAAAAGAATTAAAATACTGATCAAATCAAAGCAAATGTACCCATAATATTAAAACAAGAATATGCAAGTCCCCACTGTAATTATAATATGTTTGTTAAAATTTATCGACTTAATTTTTATTGTAACTTACTTTAACTCTTTAAAAACCCAGCCTCTTGTAAATAATGTTTAAGAATTGATTTCGTACCTCACAGGAAGTGACAAAAACCAGTCTGTTACTGTTATTCAGGGAAACAAACTCTGTTTAATGTGATAACCATACGAAACACAAAAAAAAAACTCTTGGGGCAGAACGCAGATTCTCAATATCTCACGACAGCTGGTACATTTAAAACCACTGGTCTTAAAGGTTAATAAGGACTAAAGGACGATCTTTTCTACTTCTGAAAAATAATTCTGAGTTTGGCGGAAAGGATATCACTCTTTATCTTCTAATCAAACCTTTTAAGAGTATCTTACGGTATAGGCTGAAATAATAGCCCGTCATAATAAGTGCAATTTCCGTCTTAATATTCGTTTGCAACTCCGGCCCGATATTTAACCGAACGTGTAATAGTCTTCACTAGCAAAACACGTTACAGTATATTTCCTGAATTTAAAATGTTTGTTAATTTAAGTAACTTGAGACCAAGGACCTATTGCGTTGTAAATTCCATTCCAGTTTAAAGTTAAAAATTGTCTTGTCCTGTCAAATATATTACCATTATCACATGGGCTTTCACTCGATTCCTTTTTGTCACTTGTGCTAGAGGCCTGGACACTGTTTCCAACTAATGCTCATATTTCGAAAGCAGGCTACTGTTCAAGTACTGCCGTATGTTCAAATGTAGGGCTGTATAGTATTCATAGATCAAGTATCGTACAATGGAAATGAATGTAGTTGCTTGTATTATCTCCCCCCCCCCGTGAAAGATTTCGTTTCACTCTACCTATACAAACACAGAATAAATGCAGGCAAACATCTATATCTTGAGTGGGATTCGAAACCACGATCCCAGCATTTGAGCGAGCGAAGACAGTTCATGACTTACACCGGAAGGCCGCTGTGATCGGCTCGTCATCATCATCATCATCATCATCAATACCACCATCATCATCACCATCACCATCACCATAGTACATTTGCGCATTCTGTTGCATTGATGTACCACTCTACACGTTCATTTTCATCTTTAATACAACTGCAGTATACGAGTGTTCATCCTAAAGTGACATACGCGTACGCTCGCCTAGTGGGAACATACACACTACGGGGGCACACGATGATAACATTAATAACAAAGACCACGACGTTGTTCATCGGAATAAATAAAACAACACAACACAGGCGCCGCAAGAGGAAAATAGCACGGGAAAGGAGAAAGAGCTGGGTTCCCAAATATTTGCATTTCAGTGTGAACGTCTGAATATGCAATAGCATTGAAATGTAGCAGTGAATTGCAATTTTATTGATATTTTAAACTAAAGAGATACTGTGGAAAGAGTTGCAGTAAAGACGGAAGTGAACGTGCTTAGTGACCTTCAGCTCTATCAACTGGTTGTTCGAGCGGCATTAACGCCGGGATGGTGCAGCAACTTCTTCATCATGGCAGCAGACAGGTAGCCTAAATTAAGGCTGTTCTGGTCAACATTCAGAGTCAGCTGAATATAACATGTAGGATTCTTGGAAAGCCACAGCACTTCAACCTGGCGTGGGCGGTGCAAGTTATGCAGTAGGTAGTAATTACGTTAATGACTTGTACTTAGAATATGTGTCCTCACGGATTTGAATGTAGAAAATTCGG